GGGTCAAGGATGTTGACGCCATCATAAAGCATTTTCAGGACAGGTATCCTACAAAGCTCTCAATGCAAGCAACTGGCCTAAACCCTCTGCTCGTTGTGGTGCGCAAAGTCTTTCCCAATGATCAGCCGCTGTACGATGCATACTATACGAGGTACATGCAGGTCCGGAAGGAGATGAAGGATGCCAAGCCGCCGCCACAGGTTTTGACGGAGCGCGAAGCGGCAAACTGGAAGAGCTTGTCGGAGATCAACGACCGAAGAGTGGAGCTGCAGCGTTACGTCAATCGCAAGATCCTTCCCAAATCTCCCGAAGAGTTGACTATTGGAGACAAAGTGATTCTAATGCGGCATCTGATCTTGTGTCTGTTTACGTACCAGCCAGCCATCCGCAATGATTATTCAGAGTGTCCCATTGTTCGCTTTGATGACATCAAGACGCCTGATGCGCGCATACTCATGTCCGGTCCCGGAAACTACCTGCTCGAGTTTGCAAAAGACCAGTTTCGACTCATTCTGAAGGATTTCAAGACGGCAAAGCACCACGGGCCTACCGAAATCGACATGAGCACAAGGTGTAACAACGTGATAGCCGAATCGCTACAAGTCTTTCCTCGAAAGTACCTCCTGTCTCGAATGAGGTCGCCCGACAAGCCAATGAGTCGAAACTACCTCACGAAATTTTGCGCAAGCGGCCTGTTTAAGGATGCAAGCGTTGGCAGTTGCCTGCTGCGAAAAATTTGTGTGAGCAATCTCTTCAAAGATGCTCCAAGCATAGCCGAGCGCGACGACCTTGCGCGGAGCATGCTGCATACGGCCGCTATGGCCCAGCAAACATACGAGAAGAAATTTAACCCAGATGGGTCTCGGATCCGATTTTGAACGATTCACAATCTGCTCGCCACCTGGCAGTTGCCTTCAGGACACTTGGATGCTTGTGAACGCGCCCAAACGGAGCGAGGGTACTTTAATATCATCTGACGTGCCGGAAGACGCCATTTGATGATCATCGTGCTGCCATGCTTGACACGGACTCTTCACCGGGAAGCCGGCATCGAAAAGGCGCTTGAGAGTCTTTTGCTGAGATGCATGCCCATTTTTGTAGCGCTCAAAAGCCTGAGCCAGTAAGATTGCATCCCTATGTCGGTAGTAGTACCTTTTCGTGTAAGTCTTACGAGCATCTGGGTGCTTTACATAGAATTGGCTGATAGATTTGCACGTTCTGCAATTGCAGCAGTCATTTGAAGCGGTTTCATTTTGCGACTCCATGTCAGTACTAATGTCATGGTAAGAAAATTTGAACGACAAAAGGTTAAACGCACGCGCGTTTGAAACGCCTCATTTAAAATCTTCTCATAATGTCAAAAGAAATGACAGACGCCCAGATCAGCCTCTCAAGACCTCAGGCCGCTCGTGTCCCCAGGCCTGTAGGGCCCCGAGCCGTTGCAGACGAGATCCAAGGACTCTCCAATGTTGGGCTCTATGCAATTCCCGTGCGCATGTTCTGGAATAAAAAAGAGGGTAGAAAAGATGCTGACTTTCCACACAAGTACGCACACATCACGACGCCCGAATTGTGGAAACATTCTAATGATGAAGCAATGCGGCAGGTGAAGGACGCCAATGGAATTGCGATCCTGACACGTCCCAGTCGGTTGTTCGTGGTTGATATTGATGTGTCCAGCAAAGATAACAAAAAGCCGGGGATCGAGCTTTGGAACCGTCTTATTAAGGAATATGGCGAGCCTCAAACACTCAAAGCACAATCAGGATCCGGTGGGTATCATTTTTATTTCAAGGCGACTTCCCCCGGCCTCAAATGCACCCGTAACTTCGAGACCATCAAGGTTGATGACACTGTCTATGGTATTGACGGTCGAGCTGGTGGAGGGGTCGTTTTTGCTCACCCCGCAAGCTACGTGAAGGGTCACGGAAAGCTTGCGACATACGAATGGCTCAACGGGCCTCCAAGCTTCGATGCATGCCAGAATATGCCTCTCTGGCTCACAAGATTTCTCAACGATCACGTTCAACAGACCGCAACAGACAAGATTGAGACACCAAAGAAGCACAAGTCACGTGAGAATGACTCGAATGCCACTTCATCTGGTATTGAAATCTCAACATCGATGTCATCAGCACCTTCTGGTAATGTGCAAAATACGGAGGCCTTGCCCGGATTGGAAGGTGCGCTCCAAGAGATCAAGAGATTGCTGCGCGATAAAGTGCAAGACGACACCAGCACATTCAACGGTGTTGGAGAAAGGACCCCCAATGGGTGGCAGATCCTAAAGTTTAAGACAAACGGCACGCGAACTTGCTTAAATGGTCATCAACACGATTCGAATCAGTTTAGCATCATGAGCAACGGGTGCATTCTTGTGTACCGCTGTCTCAGTCCGGGGTGCGTTGATCGATCAAAGCAACTGCTGGGCATTCACTTCTGGCCCGAGTGTTTGCCTCTAAGAGCGGAAGCGGAACTTTTCAGAACTTGCGAGAGCTACATTCTTCCCTTTGAGCCGTCCACAGATAAAAGCGACGAGAAAGGGAGGAAAAGGGAAGATGACGTACGAACAAGTAAAGCAAAAGTGGACTTGCTCAATCTCGCTTTGCGTATCATGAACCATTACTTTGCCATCGTCCGCTCGACAAAGGCTGTCTACCTTGAGACCATCTACTGGAGAGACGCGAATGGGCAGCTTGAGCCCGAGGAGACTATCCACCGGTCCGGCCGGGACTTCTCGGAGGTTTGCAGGAACTTTCAACTCCAGAGCCTATCGGGAAAGAGCAAAGAAGTTGCCAAATTTTGGGAGAGTGATTCCAGACGCCGCGAATACGATCGAATTGTGTTCGAGCCAGACCCGTCAAAGGGGTCCTCACGACACTTCAATCTGTTCTCCGGGCTAAAATTCAAACCGCTTGATTGCAGATTAACGGAGTCAGAGCTCGTGGAGTGCGAGGAACAAATGCCAAAGCTCATGTGGCACCTCCGCAACATCTTGTGCGATGGCTCAAAGGAGCGGTTCGATTACAACCTTTGTTGGATGGCGCACGCCCTTCAGAAGCCTTGGAGGAAGATTGGTGTGGCTCTCGTGTTCCGCAGTGGGCAAGGATGCGGAAAGTCTGTACTGTGGGACTTTTTTGGACGGATGATCCTTGGCGCCATATACTATTTGTATTGTAACGAGATCGAAAAGATCATTGGCAAGTTCAACTCACTAGCAGCCAATAGATTGTTGATTGTGTTGGACGAATGTGGCAGTTGGGGCGGAGCGTACCGGATGAACGACCGGATAAAGTCCCTAATCACTCAAGAGACGACGTGTATGGAGCGCAAAGGCCAAGACCCTATCAGCGTGGATGACAAGAGCAACATTGTGTTTACCACAAACAATTACTGGCCTGTCAAACGGGAGGCAGACGATCGTCGATACTGTTGCCAGCAAGTCTCAAATGCCAAGATGGGAAACAAGAAATACTTTGATGAGCTTGTGGAGGAGTTGGAGAAACCGGAGACCGCATATCACCTCCACCGATATCTATCATCCATTGAAATATCCAACTGGAATCCTCAAAAGATGCCGGTCACAGCTTGGGGGGAAGGCTTGAAGGAACACTCGATTCCACCTCATGTCAACATGATGCAAGCGCTGCTCGAGAACGGATGCTTTCATCCTTCTTTAGAAACGTGGGTAGCATCGACAGACATCAAGAGGACATATGACACGTTTCTGCTTCAATTGGACATCAAAGAGGATCGGCATACCGACGTCAACGTCTTAATGCGCTCTCTGAATGCCATTTTTAACATGAAGCCTGCGGCGCGCTCCATCCAAGGGGTGCGGACCCACAAGGGTTGGTGGTTTTCCCCACAGGGCGCTATCTGCGAGGCTCTCCATAGAGGCAAGCTTCTAAGCTCCACCGTGGAGTGGGTGGACACCTGGCAGCGGCTAGACTATACCGAGGATGAAGAAGGGCCATGGATGACAGATCCAAAAGCTCTTCAGGAGCTCGTCAATGCTTCAAAAGGGTCAAAAGAGTTGCGACAATCTGCCGCAGAGCAAAAGTGCTCGTTTTGCTCGAATCATCATGGGTGGGTGGTGAGAAGGAATGAGGAGGGGCACATAGTGACTCGAGAAAGCAAGAAAGACAAACCTTCTTAAAGTCGTTGAGTACTAAATAGCTTATTACCCTCTTATTACCTTATAACACACACACACACACATGACCGCACCCATGAAAGAAGCCTAAAGCACACATATCTGTTACCCTATTACCCTATTACCCATTGATTATTTAGATATGGAACCTCTTCAAAAATCTCCATCACCACATGACGAATGTACAAAAGAGTATGGAACTTGAAACGGTGGGTAATAGAGTAATGAGTAATATAGGGAATCAACAGTATCGGCGAATCATGATTCTACCCTTGCTTTATTGGTCATGTGTTGGTGGTGAGGAGGCATTAAAGGGGCATGGAGTGTCTTGAAAAGGTAAGAAAGACAAACCTTCCTTAAGTTGGAAAGTCGTTGAGCACCAAATAGCTTATTACCTTCTATTACTTTTATAACACACACACACACACACACATGAATGTACCCATGAAGAAGCCTCAAGTACATATCTCTATTACTCCATTACTATGATTATTATGATTCTTTAAATACGGAACCTCTTCAAAAGCCCCCATCACCACATGAAAAATGTACAAAGAGAGTGGAACTTGAGACGGTGGGTAATGAATGATAGAGTAATAGAGCCAAATGTCAGCCACGCGCCCGCCTGATCGAGTCTCTCAACGAATTGCTAGACTCGCTCCAATAGACAGCATACTTTGACCGTTCAAAAAGCGTGTCGAGAATGGTCGTCACACGGCTTATCAACCGCTTGATGCTCGTGATCTGCTGGAGGCTAGCTGCACATCTCTTTAGCCCAGAATTGATGCCCTCCGACGCGGTTGTAATCGTGTGGCCATGCTGCGAAAAGGAGTCGATGAACAAGGACCGCGTGGACGTGTGCGTTGCGTAGCGCTTTGCCCCTGTTGGTGCGCAGCTCACGGGTCCCGAGTGGAATCGGTCGACCAAAAAGAGCATAAACTTAGCCAACTGAGGCACCCGGTTCAAGAACCACTCCTGGGCGTTGCAAGCGGCGTCCTCCACGATCGTGAGCCCCCGCAGCGTCTTAAACGGAAACAGCGTGATCAAAACGGTCCCCAGGTCGGAGACGCTCTCGCCCCCTTTCAGCCAGTGGTAGCCGAGCGGCGCCCGGTCTTGACAACACGCAATGAACACGCCAGCGCGCCCCTTGGAGGATCGAGGATTTGGGGCGCTGCAATGTTGGGTGAGCCGTTCCTCCGTCGACCGCTTGCCGCGGCCCGACTCGTCCTCCCAGTCGACAAACTGAGGGCGGCCGTACAGCAGGGGGTGGAAAGAGTAGACCGAGACGGCGCCGACCCGCTCAGTGTAGGCCGCCGATGGCGCTCGAAGGAACCCGCCCGTCCTGTAGCACGGGGGCTCGCGAACCTCCAGCTCGAACAGGAGCGAGTTGGCGACCCTCTTGAGAGTCGCCCCTTGCCGCTCCGCATACTCCATAGCGGCCGCCTCCAGCTGGCCCATGAGCTTCAGCCTCTCGCCTTCGATTGCCCGCAGATGCTCGGTAGCATCATGGAGGGCGGCCAAGGGCGATCGCGAGGAGGTGCCGGGCCGGTTTGCGCTCGGCTCGAAACAGAGGAGATTCGTGGCGTAGATGTCGCGCACGAGCGGCCGGAGAGTTGGCGGGAAGGCGTACAGCGCCCCGGCAACCGAATGGAGGCGCAAGATGGCCGCCAGCATGGGGCCGTCGTTGGAGAGGTACGCAATTCCGCGCTCGTCAAGAGGCCCCTCCAGCAACACGTGTCTCAGCAGCTTCAACGTGACCACGTGCCCAAAGATCCACGAGTACCTTGGAATAAGGAGGGCGTGGAGGAGGGCTCCGTATGGCTGGAAGTGAGTCGGACACCAGCCGGTCGCTCCCACGGGCCCGTCCTTGAGAAACCCTTGCATCCACGGCCGCCGCGGCACCGCCTTGCAAATCGCACACGCGGCGGGGTCGCCACAAGCTCCCGAGTCCGTTACGAGGTCGATCAGAGCAACGACATTTGCCGGAAGCCCCTCCCGCATGGCAACAAACTCCTCCGGCTTCAGAGGCGCGTTGCTCCCTTGGGCTGGAGCCTTCCGGAAGTTGCACCACCTGAGCGCAAGAGCACGCACGGCCGGCCGCAACTCCGAGAGGCCGTTGCGGTACTTCCACGGACAATCAATGCCCTCCAAGGGCACGTCCGAAGGTCGAACCCCGCCCACGCTCAGGGGAGTGAAGTCCCCGGCGACCCTCGGCGCTTCCGGATCGGGCTCGCAGATGCTATGCAAGGACGCCTCCGTGCCAGAATCCCGCATTGCGCTTGAGTTGGCAAAGAAGGTCCCGTCGAAGGTGATGACCTTGTCCCGCCCAAAAGCGTACGTGGCCAGCTCGGAGCTCGGCCCCTCCATTCGCTCCGGCCTCAGGGGGTTGCCAGCCATCCGGGCCTCTGCCTCGGCCGCCTCCACCTCGCACGTGTAGAGGTGCGCGCAATCGACGCGCGAGCACACGTGCTGGATCCGCGACCGGGCGGCGAGGTCGTTGAAGGCCTGCATGGCCGAATCGAACACCCGGTCGTCCAGCCTAGGGACGTTCGGTGAAGCGGCGCTGAACAGAATCGACTCGGGGTGAGAGAGATACGGG